GTTTCACGACAACAAAATAACATAATTTGTATCAAAAGGGCAAAGTTTTTGCTAGCTGTTTAAGACGATAAGGCAAAAACTAAAACAAACGAAATAATCAAACATTAATTAAAAGGCAGAAAGCGTGTAAAAATGCTTACTGTGTTTACTTACTAGTTTTTGAGGTTTACCTTTTATTTCGTCTTAGAAATATCACAAGTTCAAGGTATATTCCAGTGTTTAGAATATTAACATTCCCTATTTTTCCACTCTTAGGGATAGAGAGAATTTTTTCTTTAAAGTAATTTAGTGCCATCCCTGAAGTTCAACCTATTGAGTTTAATTAGAATGAATGAAATCGGTAAACTTACTTTTTTATAGAAGAAGGGTGACAAACTAGCACACAGTCAGTGGCGAAGCTTCCATAAAAGCCGAAAAGCCGGGCTTGCCTTATTAAAAATGAATCAATCAATAATATCAACTAATAAAATAACTCGTAAAATGTTTCAAGCTATTTCAAATTTCCCGCGCACTCCACTGTTTGACACATGTCGACCGATGATCTCGTATTGCCTTAGCGATACTGCTGCCGTCATAAAAAATGAGTTTTAATAGAGCGATTATTTGTCTCCATCGCTCGCGTGGGCTTTTTACGGGGCTTTCGAGAAGACGATAGCTCTCTTTCTAACCTATGGCAAAATATTCTATAATGAAATATAACTACGATTGTATATTTAGCAATTAGTATGGAGATATAAAGCCAGGCTTTTGGGAATAAATTTGTTAAAAGCGGAGGCGCGCGGGCAATACGTTTGCAAGTTCATTTCACGTTTTAATGTTTATTTACTCTGTGTGCTTATCTTAAGCGATTTAATATTACGAGTTCGAAGAAGCAAGATTTTTAATGAAAATGGAGGATAATAGTGTTCCTTGTGATGAATTGAAGTGTGTTAAAGTACTAATCGGAGAGGAAATCTTTAAACTTTGTTGAGATAATACACAAGGTTAAGAGTGTATTTCAGACTTATCAATTATTGCAATTAAAAAAAACAGTTATTGGTACAATTAAAACGTTCACCAAAATTTTACGTGGACGTGATTAAATCTTTCCATAAGAAAGCGAGACGATTCCACTTATCTTATCTTATCTCTTATCCATTAGAATGTAAATAATTGTTTTTTTTTAATTTTGTACAATAGTTTGTTTGTACTTTCTTCATGTTTTACTTTTGTTCATGTATTGTATTGGATGTAAATATTTTTTTCTTTTGCTTAAACAAACCCAAACGGCTTTCTTCAAAGCCACCGAAGCTATGCAATTGCTGATATGTAATACAATATATCTAGTAGTAGTATGCCTTCTGTGTGCTTTGTTACACACGTCCTTGACAGCACTGGATATGAAACTGAAGCGTGGAGACAGATCAAGATTGGTGTATTTTTATAAAACTGCTAAAAACAACAATCTATATTTTTATCAATTTATATCTTGGGCTTGCCCTAGCTTGGAGCTCTAGCTCCGCCACTGCACACAGTCCACCTGATGGTAAGTGGATACTGTGCCTTATAGACTATCCTCAATTAAGAATCAAAATGCAAATGCGTTATCACCCCTGAGGACTAAGATGGAATGCCTCGTTTCCAGTACAAAAGGGTCTCCGGATGTCTACACTCACCATACGAAACACAGCAGTATTAAGCTGCTATTTTACGCTGGTATTCTGTGAGGTTGCCGTGTAGTGGCGGTTGAGAATATCCACTACCCCATGTCTTCCCGTGGGTGTCGTAAGAGGCGACAGAGGGAGACAGGCACGAGATGGGCAGCAGCATCTTCCTGATAACAGCAATTATACAATAAAAACTGCGGTTGCCAACCCGCTCGCCAAGCGTGGCAACTATGGGAAACATTCCCCCATGAGCAACGACACAAACAAACGGCCACCAGTCCCCGGCGCCCCCGCTATTCCTGGCTCGCCACCGCGACCATGGTAACGGCGTGGCAGGGGGTGCTAAGAAGCTCCGGTGGAGTTTCGTTTGCCATCTACGACGACTCGTCGACCTGGCAACGTATAACGCACGCACCCGTAGAACTGACGAGAAGATACTGGAGCTGGAAGAAGAAGTAGACAAGTTGCGCTGGCATATTATAGGATTATTCCAGGTCTGAGGAAGAGGGGGAGGACACGGCAATCCTCGAGTCCGGCAACTTGATCTATCACCGGGAGGGCGACCATCTGTCCCAAGGCGGTGTCGGATTTATCGTCCACAGCTCTCTCGTCATCAACGTTGTAAAGATTGGGAGTGTGTCGACGAGGGCCGCGTACCTGATACTCAGAATCACCCAACGGTATTCGCTAAAGGTCATACAGGTTTACCCACCAACCTCGGCACATACCGATGAGGAGGTGGAGGAAATGTATGAAAATATCTCTAGAGCCATGCATTCCTCCAAAACCCACTATACCGTGGTAATGGGAGACTTCAACGCAAAACTAGGCACAAAAGAATCGGTGAGCTGAAGTTAGGGAAATTTGGAGTAGGGCAACGGAACCCAAGGGGCCAGCAGATGGCCGACTTCATGGAGAAAGAGGGACTCTTTATGATGAACTCTTTCTTTCAGAAGTGGCCCCACAGGAAGTGGACCTGGTCGAGCCCTGACGGTTCGACAAAAATTAGATTGACTTCATTATGACGACCAGACGCCAACTATTCAGTGATGTCTCAGTGATAGTGAGAGTGAAACTGGCAGCGATCACCGAATGGTTAGAGGCACACTGAACTTAAACGTTAAGTTGGAGAGGTCTCGTCTATTGAAGTCGCCGCTCCGTCCCCCTCGTGCGCTAATCCAGGGTCCCGAAAACTTTCAGCTCGAATTACAAAATCGATTTCAGTGCCTAAAAGACTGTAATACAGTGGACGATATGAATGACAAGCTCGTGGAAACTGTCCATGCGGACGGAGCTAAGTTCTGCAAAACCCGCCACAGAAGAATACAAAAACTCTCCGATCACACTCTTAATCTCATGGATGTTAGACGGGAGATGAAGCTGCAGTCGTCAGCAGATTTGACAGCATAAGACAACAGATCTCCAAATACATGCGATAGGACTTACGCAACTTCAATACAGCTCCTATTGAAGAAGCGATTGAGCGGAACCAGGGCTCCAAAGTCTTTGCCAGAGATCTGTCTGCCAGAAAGAGCCAACTGTCAAGGCTGAAGACTGAGTGTGGCGGCATCGTTTCCGGGACACCTGAGATTTTGAGTGAGATTGTGAGGTTCTATGGGCAGCTGTTTACATCATCGTTGGAGCCACACGCATGTGTGAGTAACGATCCAAGAGCAAGTCTTATCCGACACTATTCCGATGATATCCCGGACGCCAGTCGAAGCGAGATTAGAATGGCTCTCCAGCACCTTAAAAACGGCAGGGCCCCAGACGAGGATGGAATTACAGCGGAGCTTCTGAAAGCGGGTGGAACACCGGTACTTGAAGTCCTTCAGAAGCTCTTCAATTCCGTCCTCCATGGTGGCACTACTCCAGAGGCGTGGAGCAGAAGTGCGGTGGTCTTGTTCTTTAAGAAAGGTAACAACACTCTCTTGAAGAACTACAGACCAATATCCCTTCCGAGCCGCGTCTACGTGCTGTTTTCGAAAGTCATTACGAATCGTCTCGCACTTAAAGCCGGTTTCCGAAAATGCTTTAGCACCATAGACCACATATATACCCTTCGGCAAATTGTACAGAAGTCCGAAGAGTACAATCTGCCACTTTGCCTGTCGTATGTGGACTATGAGAAAGCCTTTGATTCCGTTGAAATTTGGGCGGTGCTAAAGTCTCTTCAGCGGTGAGAAACTGTCGGTATATCGAAGTGATGAAGTGTTTGTACCGCAGGTCTACGATGGCTATCCGAGTACAGAACCAGAGTACGAAACCTATCCAACTGCAGAGAGGTGTAAGATAGGTTGACACTATATCCCCGAAACTCTTCACCGCTGCATTGGAAGACGTTTTCAAGCTACTGGACTGGAAAGGATACGGTATTAACATCAATGGCGTGTACATCACTCACCTTCGATTTACCGACGATATAGTCCTTATGCTTAATTATATTAATGCTTAATTATAATTAAACTTAATGCTCATTGACCTCAATAGTGCCTCCCAACGGATAGGTCTTAAGATGAACATGGACAAAACAAAGATCAGTTTAATGTCCATGTCACACCTATGCCGGTGGTTGTTGGGAGCACTAAGCTCGAACTCGACAAATAGTCCGACTAGGTAAGTCCAACTTCGACCGAGGGGTCAATCGAAAACGAAATTGTATAACCAGTGCATGTTGCCAGTGATGACCTATAGAACTGAGACGTGGTCCTTTACTGCTGGCCGTATAAGAACGCTCAAAGTCGCTTAGCGAGCTATGGAGAGGGCTATGCTCGGGGTTTCTCTGCGTGATAAACTTAGAAATGAGGATATCCGCAATAGAACCAGAGTGACCGACATAGCTCAACGGATTAGTAAGCTGAAGTGGCAATGGGCCAGCCATATATCTCGAAGAATCGATAACCTTTGAGGAAAAAAGGTTCTCGAGTGGTAGCCTCGTACCGGTAGGCGAAGTGTAGGGTGACACCCCACTAGTTGGAGTGACGACCTGGTAAGACATGCAGGAAGTCAATGAATACAGGTGGCTCAGGACCGTGCTTTGTGGCATACCTTGGGGGAGGCCTATGTTCAGCAGTGGACTTGTGAAGGGCTGTAATGATAATGATGATGATGGTTCTGTGTGGTGGTATTTCCTCGGTTAAGCAGACCCATTTGTGCTACGACCATAATATAGCAGCAGCGTGGCTCTACCACATAAATATTTGACATTACCGTTCTTTACAGAGTACAGATGAACAAAAAATAATCTACTCGGGTCAACTCTTGGATGACAATACAATACTAAAAGACGTGCTTCGGACCTATGAAAGTCAGATCGCGCATACTATGCACTTAGTCTGCACGCCAAAGAGAGGCATGACTAACGAAAAAGCAGCTGTGCCGCCAGCGGACGGTCTCCGGCAACGCAATGTCACTGAGCCCGAGACCGAGCGGCCGGTTGAGACCGCCTCGAGACCGGAAACGAGGCAGAATGATCAGAACCACACCGTCGAAATGCAGAACTACTTTAGCTCGTTCGTGAACAACTATGGCAGGATTCCACCGTATCCCAATTATAACTTCAGTGAAAGGTACCTCCAGGCGCCCAACGATCCAGCCATGTTCGCAAATCACATGATGATGATGCAGCAGGCGTATTTGCAGTACATGCAGCAGTATGCTAATATGTAAGTATTGTCTGGGATTTGAGTACATTTGAAATATAAATTAATGACATATTTATATTTCTATTAATGAATTTGATAAATATTCTTATATTGATGAATTTTTATCTGAAAGCTAATGCTTCCCATGTGGTTCCATATCAATTTGATCAAGATCTGACCAGTAGTTTTCGAGTTGTCATTTATAATGCGTATTCCATTGACTTCAACTACATAGGTGATGTTTTCATTTTATTTATATTAAAGTCGGTTGTACAATTTTTTTAATTTAACCACTTGTCATGTCTACCAACCGTCTGTGCTAAACACTAATACACTAAATCCACTGGCTTAATCAACTTTCCTGTTTTTTTTTTTAATTTCACATATCGATAATTGATAGAATCAGGTGTTACTTTGCCGAAATCCATTATAATAAAGATATTAATAGTTACTTTGCAACCATCCGCTCAATTAAATACAATGATGCGTCTTACCTAGATTGAAGAGCACCTCCCGCCCTCCCTCAATTGCGTGCACTAATCCCGTCACCACTAATCCCAGCACCACTACTCCCAACACCACTATTCTGGGAAAGACAAAAACACACATCGACCATAATACGACACGTGTTTCGCCTTTACACGTGGCATATTCAGGTGATGTAGACTCTACGGCGGCTGACTGCTAAGTAAAACTGACTTAGCGGATGGTTGCAAAGTAACTATTAATATCTTTATTTCACATATCGTTTTACTTTACTGTTACCATTTTTCAATCAGGATCATACTGTGTAAACATTGGCGTAACCAATATCTGGTGAGTGGAGGATTATTAACTCTCATTGTCAGTAATTTTTTTATAGAAGAAGAGTGACGAACGAACGCAGACCACTTGATGGTAATAGATATGCTGTAGCCCATAGATATGGGCATTTATCCTCAGTTAAAAATCAAAATGCAGATGCGTTGTCACCTCTGAGGACTAAGATGGAATGCCTCGTTTCCAGTAAAAAGGGTCTCCGGTTCTGCACACTTACCACATGAAACACAGCAGCATTAAGCTGCTATTTAACGCTGGTAATCTATGAGAGTTTGATCCATTCTAGCTCAAGCCGACTCATTTACGATATAACCATATTATAGCTGCAGTGTGGCTCTACCATGTACAAAGTCTATTTGTAGGTATATTAAGATCTTTCAGTTAATAATTTTTTATAGAATAAGAGTGACAAACGAGCACACAGTCCACCCAATGGCAAATGGATGCTGTGACCCATAGGCATCCATATTTATCCCCGATTAAGAATCAAAATGCAGATGAGTTGTCACCCATGAGGACTAACATGGAATGCCTCGTTTCCAATACAAAAGGTTCTCTGGAACTCTACACTTACCATACGACACAGTAGTATTAAGCTGCTATTTTACGCTGGTATTCTGTGAGAGCGCGGTCCTGCCCGTTGCCCCGGTCGAGCCGAGTCATTCGTGCTACAACTATAACATAGGTGCAGTGCAACGTGACTCTACCACGTGCAGTACCCGGCGATAAATATTGCACATCGACCTTTGGAAAGAGACAATCAGCTAATTTCGGCTTCGTAGAGCGTTATCTCTGTCACACACTACCATGTGACGTTTTGACGTTCGACTTATTAGATACCGGACTGTTTGTATTTCGTAAGAGAGAGGTAACGCTCTACGAAGCCGAAATTAGCTGATTGTATCTTTCCAAAGGTCGATGTGCAATATTTATCGCCGGGTATAGGCAACGCCACGAGTGAAGAAAATGCGCAGAAGCGAAAAATAGGTGTCGGCACGGTAAGGTGTGAGGTACGGGGAAGCGAAACAATAGCAATGGGCGACGCGCTACTCCCAAGTAGTTTCTCCCTGCGTCCCGTCGCCCGCGCACCTTTTTGTGTCGTCTTGTGTACTATCGATATCGAAAGTGTTAGCGACTACCTGTTATAAAATTTTAAATTTTTGCGATTATTTTTGTACTTTTAAAAATATTGTTCTATAATATTTTCAAATAGTGTGCAAATATTTATTACTATATAAATTATTTTGGGGCTATTTAAAATAGCGTAATTCGTAGTATATTGTATAGTTGTAAATATTTTGTTATTTTCTACACGATGATTTTTTTGCAAATTATTGCATGTAAAATATCCATATAATCGAAGGCTATCGCATAGTATAGTTTAAAGAGAAATTACAAATACAAAAATACAAATACAAAATATTTTATTTCTTTAACTAAGTGTACATACTTGAACGAATTAACCACTGGACCGACATGGATCGACATATAAGCGGACTTACCTATACCGGTCTTGTCAGTAACCAGGAAATTCTAGCCTTGGTCGTTTGTGCGTCAGTCTCAAGCACTTACTTGTCAACAAAACATCTCCTAAAAATGACTAAATGTTCAGTTAAATAGTGTAAAAACTATAGCGGCGGAAGCAGCACTATTTCTTTTCACTTTTAAGTACATTATTTTATTACATTTGTTGTTATTTATCACAATATTTAATCAAATGTAAAATAAAATTTTGTATTATCAAACTATGTTAAATATAGTCGATATTTCTATGTATTATTGATATCTGATGACCATCACAAAATGACTGGATTATACCATTCAGAATGATGGACTGAAGCTGTGGAGTGAGTCAATTTGACATCGACCAGTGCTTGACCATGTAGAAAAATGTATCGATATTTGATGATATGACCGAATGAATGATGATGTTATTTGTACAATACAATAACATTTAAAATACTTATATAACAGTATCCTACAATCTGATGTCATTAAATTTATAACAGTAATTTTTATAATTAAATAAAAATACTATAAATGCAAAAATTATAATTAGAAAAAATTCGTGTAAAATATGTGTTTAAATATTTTAAGTACAGATAACTTAAAATATTTAAACACATATTTTACACGAATTTTCAGATTTCCTAGTGACCCTTCTCGGAAAAGAAAGTGGGTAGAAGCAGTTCGTAGAGATGAAACCTGGATTCCGACGAAACACAGCGCCATAATATGCAGTGTACATTTCGATACTGTCTGTTTTAATACTAATGCGAAGAAACACAAAATGACACCAATAAAGGCAGTCTCGTTGCCCATAAAGACAAGGAAAAACTGATACTTCCCTCAAGTGATACCCTAGCTATTTGTCGGTACTGCGAACTCAAACTTACGAAGGGTGTTCAGAATGAAAGACTAAAAAAAGATTACACAACAGACTTTCTCCTGCAGAGAGTAACAGAAACATTGCTGCAATTTCCGTTGTACGAAGACATTCATTTCCATAAATTTGAAAACGACGACGTGAATCACGTCGAAGAATTAACGAAAGCCGTTGCTGAAAAGTATATAAATATTAGAATTGCTTATATAAGAAAACAAGCGAACAAAACAAATTCTAAGAAACACATTTTAAGAAAGATGATATATAATAAAAGTCAGTAAACCTATATTTAAATAATTTAAACTTAACAAAAAATTTGAAGTATATCATAACTAATTGAATAAAAAGTCCATAAAAATGTCCTGCTTCTTTTATTTTAATTAAAATTTAAATACCGGAAGCTTACCTCACCTTCATTATCCCTTTATTTCCTTTATCTTACAGCTTATTTACGATATGACTTTTCTTTCTCAGTCGTTCATCGATATATTTTATCGACTACGTTCAAGCACTAGAAATAGAGTAAAAATCTACGAATTTTGTATCTGTGTTTATATTAACGTAATAAGATCATTGTGTTGTGTGCGTTATTCTCCACTTGGTTGAACGAGTTTTCATACATTTGTGTTTTATGTCCGGTCAAGTGGAAAATTCGTTCAAGTGTACATAAAATGCAGATTATTATTTAGAAGCAGTTAAAACCTAACGATGATTTATAAATATATCGTTCCGTTTTCGTGGAGACTTTGATGTGTAGTTGTAATGTTGACCTTTGACTTTTTACATATTATAATGCCATATTAAAATTTTCACTTTTCTGCTTGATTGTACATGCGCAGTGGACTCTATTTAATTTCATCTTTCGTGGCGCGACCTATACTGTATGTGGTATTATATCGCAGGCGGCAGGCGGGCGAGCGCGAGGCGGAAGCCGTGCCGGAAGCCGCAGCGGCCGCGGCGCCGGCGGAGGCGCGCGAGGCGGCAGGGGAGGAGCTGGCGGCGCGCGACTGGCTGGACCACGTGTACGCGGCCTCGCGCCTCGCCATCCTCTTCTCGCTCGTCTACCTGTACGGCAGCCCCGCGCGCCTGCTGCTCGTGCTGCTGCTGGCCATCGCTGCATACTTGTAACTATACGTTTTTAAATTATGTTTATTTTAAAGCTCCTTAGAACTTTTTAAACTCTATTGTGAAGAGTCAAAATGTGTCGAAAAAGGCACGTATGGCAATTCACAATGCTGTGTTGGTGCCTACTTTAACGTATGGTAGTGAAAGTTGGGTGTGGCAGAAGAAGCACGAGAGTATAATGAACGCAGTAGAAATGCAGTCGTTAAGGAGTATGTTAGGGCTGAATCTGAGTAACAGGGTGAGAAATTGTGTGATAAGAGAAGAGTGTGGTTTGCAAGATGATGTTGTGACCAGGACTAAGAAAGGAATGCTTCGGTGCTTTGGTCATGTGGAAAGAATGAATGAGGAAAGAGTGACAAAGAAAATTTATGTTGCAGAAGTGCACGGCAGAGTCGGAAAGGGACGTCCTAGGTGAAAATTTATCGATCAAATTGGCGATTTATTGAAAACGGGCCAAATTAGGAGTACCCTTAACCGACGAGCATGTATGTGTGTATATGGATGTGGAGCAGGTAGAGAAGTGTGTCAGGATCGTGCCAAATTGAAGTCTGTAATCTCTGCCTACCCCTCTGAGTGACGGGCGTGAGTGTTTATGAACTTTTTAAGTAGGTATGTTAACTGGTACCCAGCGCGTTGCTGCTACAGAATAAATAAATAATTTTTATTTTACTTCCAATTACACATATTTACATACAGGAACAAATATGATTACAATTAAATAAAGTAACAATAAGTCTGACAAAAATTACGTACTATTATAAAATTAAAACTACGTGTAGCTTAATAATGTAGAATCTAGAAAAGAAAAATTGAAAAGTTTATACAGGTTGTTAGTGTAAACACCGTTATCCTTGAAACCAGTGGGTTTGGTTTCACATATAACACGTAAATTCAATGAAAATTAACAACATTTTTTTTGTAAAATCTCAACTATTCCTTAATTCCTCAATTTTTGCCCTTCCTAAGCCAGGAGAAAGTATGAAAGAAAAGTTACATCACAGGTTATGTGGACCTATTGTGTTTTTATTGGAATGTTGTGTAGGTAGCTAGCGCGGGCGGTGATATTTACAGTGATTACGTCACTCGAGCGCATAGGGTATCCATGAATTTACGGACGGTGTCGGACGGAAACTTTTTAAATTGTATGAAAGAAAATAGCAATTTTTTTAAATTTATTGCATTTACGTTCTATAAGTGAAACCAAACCACTGGTTTCAAGGATAACGGTGTTTACACTAACACCCTGTATATACTACAAGTTTATAATACTAACTGCTTGCCTGAACTAGGTTGAGTGTCTGTAAAGAAATAGTTATGGAAATATCGTTTTAAATTTGGTCGAATTATAAATGTTACTATGACTCGACTCCACCGAGTCAGTAATCCATTCTTGGGGCGATGTATACTCTTGCAAAAAAATCCCAGAAAATATTCAAAATTTGTCATACACAAGGTTCAAAAATATTATTAAACTAAGTTTGTATAAAAAGGGTTATTATAATGTTAAGGAATTTATGGATGATAATAACCCCTGGGAAGGGTGATCGCTACCAAACTATTTCTATATTTGTCTTGTGTTGTTTATTATAAACATTATTGTAATCTATTATTGGAAAAAAATAGTCCCGTTGGGTTTCTTGCTGGTTCTTCCCAGGACAGTATTTTTTTGCGAACCAGTGGTATGAATAAAGTGACTTTCAATAAGTATTGTTATAATGTACATTGAATAAAAAAGTTCATTCAAGTTGAATGATAAATGTATTACTAATAAAATTTTCGGGTATGGTACGCGCGCCACCTACTTAACTTACGTAAGTTAATTGTAACAATCATATTGAACATATAAATGATATAAAAAGCAAATTGTCAGAAAGAAAAATTATTGTTAAACTTTTTTTTATTCAATTAATTGCTATTTTTACAATAAAAATGGTTTTAGTGGCTTATGGTGTAGAATTATCAAGTTCGCATGGATGGAGTAAACACGATAACTTTTGAAAATATCAATTTTTCAACTGAATTTATTTTTAAATCTCTTTATCTATCACATGGGAAGCCATAGAATGTAAATGACTGTTTAATTTTGTTTTGTTTAGTAATAAATTTTTTTCGGTTGATAATTCAAAAATTTTCTATAATAAAAAAACTGTAGCAATTATTCACCTTTCAAGACAATCCGTGCATCTTTTCATGGGCTGTAATAAATAAATAATAAATCAACCCGCATCTCGCTAACACAATCGCTAGGTTTACCTTCTGAGTTTGGGTCACGGGTTCGAATCCCGCACATAACACGTGCTTGTATGGCTTACAAGTAACTAGCGCCGATGCAAATGCAAAGGTACAACCTTTTGCTAGCGTCATAAACGGAGCGCAGTAAAAGTCTAAGTGTGGTTTTACAGTGACGCATTTTATCACGTGCTCGGCGATGAAAGAAAACATTGTGAAGAAACCTCTGATAAATTGAATAAAATATTTCGAAGACTATTGGAAGTGTATTGGTGCAGCGTGGCGGACATTTCCTTGCCCTAAATCCGTCTCACAAATGAAATATCTATGCCCAACTGCTGTAACTTTTCTAAATTTTACAATAAGTACTCTTTTGTTCCAGGCACCAAATCGGTTTCTTCCGCGACTTACACGTTCCTCCAAATAACACACCAGCTGAAGCCAACACAGAGGAAAGCGCGCCCACCCGTCAGTCTTTACTCACTTCAACCTGGATAATCGTAACATCCTTTTTCGCATCTCTCATACCTGACACCAATTAGTATTATTACACATGTCAAAGTTATCGATTTTGACTGATTCGATAATCCGCATTCGAATCGATTTTTTAAAAATTGATAATATTTGTAAATACCTATTACGATTGCTTGATTTTTCTGATTATTCGATGACGGCTTGGAGACGTTTAACTTTAATGTTAAAATACTTAAAATTATGGTTTTTCGATTCTCCTCTGTGACATTTATTTCTTTTGTTGACTTTCATTGTTAGAGTTCACTGTTATCTTGATTGTTCCTCGATACATTGACATTTTGTTTTTCTGATGTAATCAGTTTATTATTAAAATAATATCGTAACATTGGAATGCTGACAGGTCAAACGATATTATACAACAAAAATAATATAGATAACCCACCTAAGTTTTTGAAGTGAAAACTTCTTTAGCGGCGTTGTACACTTTTTTTGTAATAGGTAAAAAATGTTAAACTCGGGTCAGGACACGTGACCTGATCGAAAATTCGTAAGACGGATGGAGAGTAGACAGCCGGCGCGGCGTAGGAGAGGAAGTATCCCCCCTCTCTTTCTACGGCGCGGCGAAAATTTATGCCTGCACCAGCTGTTTCGTTTAGTTGTGTACGATAGCGCAATAAATAAATATTATATTCTACCACATAAATGTTAGTACTTTTATACTGATAATTAAAGCAATTCGTGCAAAATTATTCCCTAACCATTCCAAAATATCAAAAACGCACAACGTTAATATTCAAGTTTTCACTTCTGCCGGCACTCCCGGAGTGCAACCCGTCGTTTTTTATCATTTAATTACAAAACACTCACATATGTGTATGTACAATATTAAAAAAACTAACACTAAAAACTTAAATTACCATATAGTCTTACTCCTCGTGGTATCGTGTCAAGAACGCTGGCTGCATATCCTTGCCGAATGGTTTTACGAAGCCTTTGAGCGAGAAAAGAACCATCCCTCTTATCACCTCTAAAACGCTGAAAAACAAATGTCGATAGATTGAGGCAGTGAGCAAGTTATTTTCAAAGAAATTTGTGAAACATTTGCAAGAATAAGTTAAAAACAATGTAGAGCTATGATAAATCAGATTATTTGAATAGAAGTATTTTGATATTTAATTATAAAATAAATTAAAATACGGTGTTATGTTTTACGTTTGCATTATTCATTAAAATAGTATTAAAAACCGATTAGTAATACTAGTTCGCGTAATACTTACTAATAATATTAAGACAAGATTTTATAAAGATATTGTCCAAGACTTACTTTTTTTGATGGAAAACCATAACACCAAAAAACTTAGTTATACAGTAACGGATTCTTTTTGAATTTGGAAAATTTTGAAAGCTATGAAGACATTTTTGAGACGTAACTTTTCAATGATTTCAGAATTAGTGTCGAAAGATTTTAAAACAGTTTATCTATGACTTAGACCAACAAAGGAAGGCAGATAAAGTGCTGCATACATGCCAAAACCACGCTCGGCTTATTGTAAGATCACGCACTCACACACACATGCATTTATAATTGCAACTTAACAACATATCTAGGTATGCTGAAGTGCGTCTAGGAGTGAATTTTTACGGAATGTTAATCAAATAACGAAACATTTGCGTTTAGCTGCGTCAAGAAGTTGAGCATAATTTGGATTAACTTGAAATTTATGTAACGCTCTGCGTATCTTTGTTGATCTTAGATTTGTGGGAACTATTTTTAAACACCATGTTACCTTGATGGAATTATAGCGTGTTCGGTTAAATACGGTCGTCTCTGTATCGCACAGCCTTGGCACGTGCCGCAATTGTCAAAGGCGCCGCCGCAACATCAAAGGTTGCCGTGTGCGGCGTACTCCCGCAAGAAAATTTGACATTTTAAAACGAAGCGTCGTATTCAGATTCTTTGATACTTTGTTTATTATGTATATATATATATATTTACATATATATTCGTATTTTATTACAATAAACATAATAAAATAGTATTCTATTTTATTCTTAGATTATAAAAACATTTATTTTAACAAACATTAAAAATAATAAGTGCGCCTCCAGGTTTACCAACATTATCTAAGCGAACAGGCTATAATATAACTCTGTTTACCCAACGCAAGTACAGATTGTGGTTACTCTTTATTTTTCATTAATTCATTGGTTTTGAGATGTTTTTGTTGTATACATTCATAGAGTGGATTTAATCAGAGTGGGGGTTATTCAGAAAATTTAATTTTGATTAAACTTTGGAGGAAATCGGAGACCTTACTAACCAACGATAGTGGTGAACGAACCATTGTCAGGCTTGATTGTAAATATTGGTATTTTAAATTATATAAAGTACCCTAATTTCGACATATTGAGACAAAAATTCTGTCCAATTTTGTCTCTAATCGTTGCCTAAAATCCATCGAAGCATTAATGGTACAGATATTTTAAAGCGTAACGAAAATACAAAGTCTTTAATGTATACTACTAGATAGACACTACGATATTAATACATTGCGCACTAAGTAACAGGTCCATTCTCCATATAACTCTTTTAGTCGACTGCGAGCGGGCGAGATAACTAGTGCTTTATTTTGTAAACCGCGAACGTTGGTTTTCGACAGTCTAACATTGATTATGTTTGACAGTCCATTTGCATGCGTCCGTCAAATCCCGAGCGGTCGCATACAACCGCACCCACCCACAGCACTTTAAACCATTAAAACATATATTTAGAGACTACTTTTCTATTAAGAAGTTTGGCATTGTAAAATCTATACAAAATTCTCTATCCTGTGGTTTAAAAAGTCAGGTTTTACTTCGTTACAAAAAGACTATTGTATTTCGAAAACAAAATATGGATACATAACAAACGGATGTCGGCAGTGTGAAAATCACTATTATATTACTCGATATTATTTACTTAAAAAGATAAATTATATTCACACAAAAACTTTTATAACAATTTTATAAATAAAACACTAGGAAAATCCAAAAATCAACACAACATCCAAATGAAAATGGCGTACCTAATGAACGTAGATTATAAATAAATATCCACGGACTAACTGACTTTTTATTGCACTAAAGGATAGAAAATTTCATGTTGATTCTATAATGCCAAACTTCTTCATAGAAAAGTAGTCTCTAAATATAAGTTTTAATGGTTTAAAGTGCTGTGGGTGTGCGCGGTCGAATCCGACCGCTTGGGAGTTTGACTGAATAGTGCCGCGGTCGAATTCGACCGTTTAGAGATTGAGAGGTTAATGTGACTAAGAAAACGCTGTCATTATTTATGTGTGCACTTTGTCAACGTAATCTGAAGATTTTTTCGTATTTGCATAAAAACAATGCTGTGCCTTGAAATGCACAACTGTGCGGCATACTTACCGTGCCAGCAACCTGCAGTTTTTGTTCTGAATTGTCAGCCTAGTAGTATACATACAAGTCTTTGTGAATAAAATATTTTTTGGCGGTAGGCTATTTTTCGTAGGATATACGACCAGTGTTATTAAGTTTCCTGTAAATATTTATGAAGTGTTTATCAAATATTGTCTTGGCTGTTTTACGCAAAATGTCTCCATAAGTTGATAGATATAAAAAAAAGTTTTGATATTTATTATCTGTAATAAATGATTGGACTAGAAAAATATCGAACGACAGGCTATGTAACATAAGGTTCTTAGTGTATCTAATTAAAGTTTTTAAAAATATTCAAATGTTCGGTGTACTGATGTGAAACCAAATATTAATTGTATATAACATTCTTAGATCGTAAATGTAGAGTTTATTTGTTAAATTATTAGAGAAATACGAGTGGAGCGTAAAGTAGGGTCAATTTCAAGCGAAATATAAACATAAATAAAAGAAATATTGTTCACCAGTTGTGGGACGAACAATATACTTGTCAGAAGGATAGCGATGTCGATGCCACAATAATACACACATATAAAACGTCATACAATCATCGAGAGGCTAGGCAGGATCCAAATATATTTCGTTTAACCCGAAAATTTGGGTACAGATGGAAAATTATGAAACAAGTAGGTACTGGCGCAACACCTTTTGCGACATGCAACTAACACAACTGGCACTTTTAAGTCCCAGATCACCGTGGGTCGTAATTCACACACAACTTTTTTACGTGATAGAGCCACACACACAGTCATTATAACAGATATCTTATCGTATCTGCTTAGTCTGACACGCTGTAGTTCCTGTATTATTATACAAAAAATGATCGATTAAAATGACTCTATAGTTTACTTTTATGTAAAGAACTAAGAACTTACATCACTTTCCGTTGGCCTTACTTTAAACATAATATTGCGTGGATAACTCAAAACAGTGACCAAATCACTTGTGTTTCTCAATACAATAAACTTTGTAATATTTTTAGTTAGTAGGTAATTAGAAATTTTTATTGTATAGTTGGTAGTGAAAAGAAATTTGCCCACATATGTGTTGTTCTATAAAGTTACAGCCTACATACGTCCCACTGCTGGGCACAGGCTTCCTCTCACTTCAATTAATTGTGATATTATAACTATTTAAATATCACTGCAACTTTGATGATTTAATGTAATTATTATTCATTTGTCAACCAAAACAAAAGAAACAAATTCATGGCATTTAACAAAGTTAAAACTAGTATACTCGTAATTGGGTTTGATATGAAACTAGACATTAATAATAGGACGAAGCTTAGGACTAAAAAGAACTAGTGTACGAACTGGTTTAAGATAGCAGACATTACTTTTGAATTAAAAAAATCCACAACCGTTAGCAATAGATTTAAAACTTTATGAAACTTGTCATACATTTTGTTCTTTAACTTGATTTCAATTAGGTTGAAGTTAAATTGGAATTACTTAGCTATGTACAACGATATGTGTGATCAGAGTTCATGGTGTGGTAGAGAACTTTCACGTGTGACACGAAAATGCTATCTCTATAAGATGTTTAATCTAAACAATGACGTAATAATGACCATACACTTTTTCCTCTTCTCTATTAGCCCGTAGTTATTTAATGCTAGAAATAGATCTCTCCTGTAGAATGAAAAATTAATCACGACAGTTCCCCTTATAAAAACGAAAATATATAGTTATACTAAGCAATCTGCATCGGCTTCGCACGGATGATTTTTGAAACTTGACTATAGCGTTACACATCAGCGACCCACTCAAACATACGCAAAAGATCATCAAAATTGGTCCAGCTTTTTATTTCAGTCAAAAATACACTTAAAGAAGAATTATGTAATATATAAAGATATCGCCATTTAGCCCCATACAAAAATAACACAATGGCCTTAAAAACATTCTCGGGTTAATTAATTTAAGCGCATGGTTGCCATTCTTATTTAAAAATTTTAGGAATCCATTTTAATTTATTAATTTACTAGTAATACATACATACAAAGATCACATGCATTTTGTAATTACTAAGCTATTTAAATGTTAATAGTGATAGAGCATGCTATGAAGTTATTTATGTACTGTGATAAGGTTGGTTTCGTTTGCACAATCATAAATAAACAAATAATGATTAAGTACCCTGAGTTTTATTTTTTGAAAATCTTCCCTACCAATACATTATACCGATTTTTTTTATGTCAGTCAACCCGCACTGGAAGCGTGGCGTGTATAAGTCATAGACTTAAGATAGTACATTCTAAGTCTATGGTAGTTCACGACGGGCTGTTTTCCGCAACTCCACGTCAGGAATAATGTGGTTATTCGAGCCATATTTCCCCGAAGAAGTTCAACAGTCCTTTGATATTACAAGCAACTTCGGGGAGCGATCCCGGCGTGCCGAGATGTTTAGCCCTGTATGAAGGGACTTCTGGACATGTCAGCAACACGTGAGCCGCCGTTTCTTCCTCTCCCTTGCATGCTCTTAACAGGGGGCTATCAGTGACACCTATGGTAAACATATGTTTGTTATAAGAGCCATGTTCTGTGATAGCACTTGTTACTATCCGTATCTGTGGCTTGTTCAGTCTCATTAGAACCTTAGATGACTTTATTTCAGGCAGGGCCTCCCTAGCTTATCTACAGTCTACTAAATTTTTCCAAAGCTGAGCGTGTAAATTATTGAAGTATCTACGTACCAGTGAACGAACGTAGCCAAAGGGGATTGGTATTATAGGTTCCGACCCTATAGTTGCCAGAGCCGATCCCCTTCTGGCCAGTTCATCTGCTGCATCGTTGCCTCTAGATCCACTGTGTCCCTTGATCCATTGCAGAGTCACATTGTTGTGCTTACATACCTCATTTAATCGTTGATGGCACTCATATATCAGTCCCGAGTTCGCCACATTGCAACTCAGAGCTTGTAGTACGGCCATACTGTCAGTCAGTATTTTGATGGAGAAGTCTTTCACCTTCCTAGCATCTATTGCTGGGCGCTTGGATGATACTCATGCATTCAGCCTGGAAGACTGTGTTATGGGTACCCAGCGGTGTGCATATGTGAATATCAAGGCCCCACACCTTCATTTGTCTTAGAACCATCCGTGAAAACTGAGCTCTTTTGGTCCCAAACCTTCCAGCTGGTCAGTTTCCTTCAATTGTATCCTGTACTTCTTATGTAATACAAATTGTTTTGGGATCCTATCATACTTGGCTTTTAAAATAGGAATTTTTGAGTAAATTCTATCAATTATACCCGTATGGGGGACTCTACTCTTACTTAAAAGATTTAGGGTCTTGAGTCTAATGGCAGCTAAAGTGGCTTCTTGTTGTATATATAGATGAAGCGGTGTTAGCCCCAGTATAGCCTCTGTCATATATATATATATTTATACAACATGTAACTAAAACCCTGTGGATCCGGTTAAGTGTGTTACCAGAATCAGTATCCAAGCGCATAGAAATATTTTTTTTTCAAAAAACATTAAAAAAATTTATTTCAATGAAAAAAAATTAATTTGCAAATTTTATGTAGTTTCTTTTCCTCTAACTCACACGAGTATCGGTAATGCGGGGTCTTTGACAATCCTCTTACTCCTCGGCCAATGCTGAGATAATAAAACCACATACAATTTGCAAATTATTTTTTTTTCATTAAAATTAATTTTAAATGTTTTTTTGAAAAAAAAAATATTTCTATGCGCTTGTATACTGATTCTGGTAACAAACTTAGCGGGAACAACCGATGGGTTTTTGTTACATATTGTACATATATATATATATATATATATATATATATTATACGCGCGCGTGTGTGTATCTACGGTATAAGTACACCAGTACATTCTCCGACAGTACAGCGTATTTCCCTTTCTAAATTAAGGAATTCTACTAGCCCGTGATCAATTCACGCCTTCGTAATCAAGTGACGCGGTCAACTGCACACTATACTTTGTAAAACCTCTTTTAACGTTCCTTGATCGCAAAAACGTGCTCAGTTGACGCGAGTTGAGCACGGGTTGGTTGAATTGTGTAGTAATACAAAAGCATGTGGATTTCGCGAGACCGGTGTCGCCAGTTGGACACGGAAAGGGAAATACGCGCCAGTACAGTACATAATACGCCAGTACATTCTGTGCCTATGGTATAGATACACATTATACATACTTTTTAATGATTTTTAAATCAATAGTAACAATAAAGCCGTTATTTTTAGGATTCGTAGGCAGAAAATGTGTCCTACCACCTTGTAAATAAACTATGTTTCAGTCTTTTTATTATGAAAAAACGTAACATTTTTTTTAAAATAACAAACTGTATTTTTTATAGGAGAGGGGGGCAAAAGAGCATGCGGCTAGGGCATGGATACCGGTATTTCGATATACCAACAAACGGCTTGGGTCGTTGTCGTTGAGACAGTTTGTCTTTAATACATTTTCAACTTAATGATCTAGATAATAAAGTTGAAAATCTATTACACGCTCTTCGACGAGCTCGTCATAAAGTCGCGCTGAAGCACCACGTCAACCAACATAGATATATCTTCCTCTTTCATACATAGGGCTATCAACCACGGCCACGCTGCACCCTTCCCTCAGTTCTGCTGTTTTAATTGAAGCGAGAGCACGTTGCCGCTTGTTTGCTACTCTTACTACAGTCGCTAGGCTCCATATGTATATTCCTAGAATGAGTTGTGATGAAATGATTTCGTCGACTACTGGACTTATTCAACGATTGCAAGAACACTCTTAACTCCATACAAAACAGGAGCGCCACGAGCTCACCTGCTGCCGCCTATGCTTCTGCTGAAAAGGAAACAAGTAATGATGACACATGTAACAGTACTTCATCTGTGATGGAAAAAGGGCTTAATAAAGCAATAGAAAAATCTATGACCAAAAAGCAAAACAGATCCCAGATCGGCGAGGAAGAAGAAGATAATATTCAAACATTAATTCGAATTGAAATGACATTGTATGAAAATGGAGGTACTAGAGGCAGGTTTTGGACGCAGCTTACAAGTACCTCTTAAGTATTCCTCCCACGGGCATTGAATCAGAAAGGGCCTTTTCAGCTGCAAGTTACATTTGTAACAAAATAAGATCATCGCTCTACGACGCCAGTTTGGACGCGTTGTTTTCTTCGTTCGATTTTTCAACAAACGCGACCTGCCTGATTAAAGGACTTACATTTTCATTTATTTTAGAATAATTACTTTCGACACTTTCATTTGCAATTTGATTTTGTTTTAACAATAGTTCATATTCGTAGTATAAGCTGTAAGAGAGATATTTGAAATTGTTAAAGTTTCTTATCATTAGAGAGTAAGACTGATTTTATTACCGATTGTGATATTTGTGCCAATGAATCAATGTAAACCATTTTTGGATCCAAATAACGTGTTTTCTTTTTTATTCTTAATTACCTTTATTTTTATAACACATTTTGTGGATTCTAGGGAGTTGATAAATTGTTTCAGTGTTTCTGCCATATAGCGTAGAAAACTGCTTTAATCGCTCTCCACAAACAAGACTAACCAACCGTTGTTAGAATCATTTAAACAGTTATCAGTATTTAAAAAATACCGAAATAATACCGAAATATCAATACCGATATCAATACCGGTATGAAAAACATTCCGGTATTCCATGCCCTACATGCGGCTCACCTGATGGTAAGAGACTACCGCCGCCTATGATCAACCGCAACACCAGGTGAATTGCAGATGCGTTGCTGGCCTTTTAAAAAGGAGTAGGTTCTTTTCTTGAAGGTCCCTAAGTCGTATAATTCACGTTACTTGTGATGTGGCAAAGCAAATAAAAATGTAACAACATATTTTAAGATATTCCTGGCGTTTAAAAAGTAATAACTATAGTATTTAAAGTTAACTAACAATAATGTTAACTTTAAATACTTAAAATACTGCTCCCACCCACCGCCTTTCTACGCTACTTTTTGGCACTTCAATGATAAAAAAACAGATTTAATAAATACACAGCATAATTTTTAATATTTTATAAATAAATAATAACAATAAAAAAATGTTATACTTCAATTAGAAATCTTCAGTAAAATCTAATTCCATTATATCACCAAGATCTGTCGTAACGTCGTCTTTTTCCTCATTTCCAATTACCATCATGTCTGATTCGTTTGATATGCATTCCTCTGTATTAGTTGTACCCTGCTTGTTATCAGCTGATTCCATTACATCCTCATTTAGTGTTAATCTTTTATTTGACTCAATTGTATTTTCAACTGTATTGGTATGTTCTATATCAATGATAGATTCCTCTGTTCCAGGAGAATTTTCTATGTTAGTTGTATCCTGATCGTTCTGGGCTGATTCCATTACATATTCATTTGGTTTAAAACTTTTATTTGGCTCAGTTTTATTTTCAACTGTATTGGTATGTTCTAGATCAACCAATGATTTCTGTGTTCCAGGAGATTTTTCTGTATTAGTTGTATCATGCTCGTTCTGGGCTAATTCGAGTATATCTTCATTTGGTGTTAAACTTTTAATTATATTTTCAGCTGTCTTGGTATGTTCAATATCAGCCATCGGTTCTATTGGCTTGGAAATTTGTTCATGATTACCAACTTCTACTTGATATTCAGTAAGAGTGTTATCGATACTACTTATTTCTTCCCTATCATTTAAGTTTTTAGAATTTGTTATTGCATTAGTTGTTTCCATTTCGATATTGTTTTCGTTATTAACTAAGCTATTGTTGTCATTGTTTGAAGTATTTCGCAATTCATCAAACAATTGATTTTCTTTATTTATATTTCCCACGGCGTTATTAACACCTAAATCATCAATATTATCACAATTATTAATTGTTTCATTTTCTTCCATAGACTTAGTATTACCTATCGGTACAATATTACTTCCATTCGAAAAGGCGGTATGAATATCTACTGTGACTGATTCATTCACAGACATCACACCATCTTCGTCATCTGAACTATCAATGACATTTGTTTTGTGCTTTTTAGATACCAGTATGTCATCTGTGTCTACTCTCATTTCTATATTTTCCTCCATTGTTTGATCGTCTTCCTTATCTGCTATATATTCTTCATTTATATCAACTACTATATTTTCTTTATTACTGCTTAAAGCGTTATTTGACACATTACTATTATTTTTAAGTCTAGCCAGGCGCCTCTCCTCTGCCAATTTCCGACTTCTCATCATCCTTTCTCTTTGTTCATCACTTATTGATGGAGAAGATGTTGCTTTTGGTGCATTAAAAGATGACCTGAAAAAAAATTAATTATAGCTTATTATAATTGTAACATAAAGTTTCAAACCGCCCTAAGTTTCTGTTTGCGGTTTGGAAAATATTAACGTTTTTGTAGAAAGATTACAAATGACACATTCCACCTGATATAAGAGTGAAGGTTGTGGCCTATAGACTTCGAAAATCTCATATTCATTCAAGAGTCAAAATGCAGATTCTTAACAACTCCCGAGTACTAATATGGAATGTTTCATTATCAGTAAAAGGATTTCTCATTTTTGTATAAAGAAAGCACCAGTATTAAACAGCTTTCCTTTTTTACATGCATATTAAGTTTAGTAAAGACATTCAAAAACTAATAAGGGATGGTGGCGGCACTGTACTCGCGCTACAAACGAAACGAACCGAAGCCTAAATCACGCTATCAAAGTTCCGAAGTACAGTGAGTATATATAGAATAGCTCCGAACTAGCCGATGACCTTTTCTGGCGGGGCATCTTCCTCTTTCTTTCCACGGCCAAATTGACGATTTAGCCTTCGATGTGTTTCACTTGTAGCGAGACTACAGCGTCGCCACAGGATAGTAGCAGAGATAACTTAATGCAAATGCAGTTGCAATATACTATTTATACCAGATGTTAAACACCTAGACCGGTGACGTAAAATAATGTTAATGCGAGAAATCTGGTACGGCAATCGTCAATCCGGTTGCCGTCTGACAATTATGGCAAATCTGCTCTGCTATGACGGGACCTATACCCTTATCCAATATTTACATATGGTTGCATAAACCCCTACCTATCCATTATAGAATTATCCAGTACTGGCTTCCTTGCAGATCCAGGTCCAGGTGTAGATCTTGCCAGGTCAATCTGCTGCTGCAAGAGTTTATCAAACTCATCCTCCTCTCTTTCGACTGGCGCACTCTCATCATCACTGGAATCTTTTTGGACCACTGTTTCTTCTGATATATACTGATCTGATCTAATTTTGTGCAAATGAACCTGCAAAATCGAAAATACATTAGTAATTTAATATCAGCCAAATGAAGATAGCAACATAGAAAGATTTACCACTATAATTGCATGCGGATTTTCAAAAAATAATGGATATTAGGTGGAAAATGTCATAGCTTGTTATAACATAGAACTATTATCGTTATTCTTTTTAACCGATTTCAAGAAGGAGAAGATTCTCAATTCAAGTGTGTTTTTTTGTATGCATATTATGTAATATCTTCGCAGATAAAGTGGTTCACAACTTTATACTTCATGCCTATTTTATTCATTGTTTTTACTTCAAGGGTGATCCCATTAAAATTGGTGAAAAAAAATTACTTTTTGTTAAAAGTTATAATTATTTAACATCTTTTACTTTAACTAATTTCCGCAAAGTAATGCCTGATTCTATTGACTATTTTTAAATATTTTTAATTCATTATAATCATTATCGTCAGCCCATGTAAATCTAAAGTATAACATCTGCCTCTTGTTGTAGGGAAGATTTGTCTTAATTGTCACGCTTGACACTGGCAGAGCGGGCGGGACACGGGCGTCCAATAAAATAGTATGCCAAACGCACCACTATTAGTCTTGTGCCTGCTTGGTTATTTTAAAGGTCTATCTGTATTCTTTCGTTTCGGACAGTGAACTAGTTTGTTCTATTAGTTCTATTTGCTCTATTTGGTCATCAGTATCATCAGGCTCAGCCGCGAAAAGGAGATGAAGTGAATAATTCACCCACTGAACTATGAATGTTTGGTTGGCGACATCAATGTCTCTAGGCATTGCATCTTTGCAACCGATGTCGTTGTTGATAAAAATCATAATATCGAATGGACAACTGTGTTACTGTAAAAAACTTATGTCATCCATCTCTACTAAGCAGGCTAACATATTCGCTATGTGGCGACGCTGTTGTCACATCACAATAGAAGGTAGCAAATGAGACGAACTGCATAGGACAACTTAATTACACTATTGAAGCTTCAAAACTATTTTGTATAAGGTCCATAAGCTCCGTAATACCACACACAGCGTAAGCCGCTTCTTGAACTATCAGTATGGATACAATAACAGCACCACCATCCTAATAATACAAATAAGATGGAAAAAAATGCAGCGAGGCAAAGCTTAAATACAAAGTTGCAAAAATTCGAATAAATAAATGATTATTTTCGACCTTTTTAACATATATTATAACCTATATTATGCCTAACTAATATTTGTTTAAAATACTTTAATTAATCTAATGTTATGTATGTCGAGTTATGGCTAGCACTAACGTAATGCGAAACTATGCACTTACATTTAATAATTGCATGAAGATAGAATGAAGTGTGATCACAAAGATTATTTAAATATCTACTTTAACCAATTAAAAAGATATTATATATAAAATACAAATATAACAAATACAAAAATAATAAAAAGATAGATTTATAAACTAAATAATAAATTAAAACAAAATAGAATATAGCAGCTGGCAGCAACTCAGACTAATTGCTCCATTTTTGAATGGAGGCCTGTAACATGTAATCATGCAACTATATTTATAGGATTTATATTATAGATTTATATTTATAGGATTTATTACCATTACTGGCCGCTTTTTGCCAAGTGTCTCAATCTTTTTTAAACAGTCTTCAAATTTAAACTTAGGATACAGTCTGTAAGCCCAATGTTCTAACTTCTTTAACACTAAATCTAAGTCCTCTTTCTCGTGACCTTTACCTGAAAACATTTTCCAATATTGTTATATTTCATGCTTCACAATAAACAAATATATTGGAAGATGTCTATCTTCCCAGAAATGCATGTCAACTTACACACTCTTAAGAAGACCCGTCTAGAAGAAGACTGAAGTAATCGTTTTGATTTTAGAAGTTAGTTAGCAGTCCAGAGACATAGCAGAGATCATAATACAAGCATAACCATCAACATTTTGTGAAAAATAAATATTAAGTGGAACAGTAGCAGGAGACTCGACTTTGGTTCCAAGGGATGCTATGTATTGGGACACTGGCAATGTTTTTTCTCTCAGTAGTAACATTTATAGCCGGGACTGCATCATAGGCTACTGAACTGAGTGAGAGACAAAAGTATTAATCTCTAAGATGAGAAAATTTTACCACTACTCCTATTTGTACAAAGTGAAATGGTAATGCCAAACAGTGGCGAAGCTAGAGCTCCAAGCTAGGGCAAGCCCAAGATATAAATTGATAAAAATATAGATTGTTGTTTTTAGCAGTTTTATAAAAATACACCGATCTTGATCTGTCTCCACGCTTCAGTTTCATATTCAGTGCTGTCAAGGATGTGTTTAACAAAGCACACAGAAGGCATACCACTGCTAGATAGATGGTATTACATATCAGCAATTGCATAGCTTCAGTGGCTTTGAAGAAAGTCTTTTGGGTTTGTTTAAGCGAAAGAAAAAAAATATTTACATCCAATACAATACATGAACAAAAGTAAAACATGAACAAAGTACAAACAATGTAAAAAATTAAAAAAAAATTATTTACATTCTAATGGATAAGATAAGATAAGTGAAATCGTCTCGCTTTCTTATGGAAATATTTAATTACGTCCACGTAAAATGTTGGTGAACGTTTTAATTGTACCAATAACTGTTTTTAATTGCGATAATTGATAAGTCTGAAATACACTCTTAACCTTGTGTATTATCTCAACAAAGTTTAAAGATTTCCTCTCAGATTATCACTTTAACAGACTTCAATTCATCACAAGGAACACTATTATCCTCCATTTTCATTAAAAATCTTTAAAAAAGCATAAATTTTGAACTCGTAATATTAAATCGCTTAAGATAAGCACACAGAGTAAATAAACATTGAAACGTGAAATGAACTTGCAAACGTATTGCCCGCGCACCTCCGCTTTTAACAAATATATTCCAAAAAGCCTGGCTATACATCTTTATACTAATTGCTATATATACAATCGTAGTTATATTTCATTATAGAATATTTTGCCATAGGTTAGAAAAAGAGCGATCGTCTTCTCGAAAGCCCCGTGAAAAGGCCACGCGAGCGAGGGAGACAACTATTAGCTCTATTAAAACTCATTTTTTATGACAGCAGCAGTATCGCTAATGCAATACGAGGTAATCGGTCGACATGTGTCGAACAGTGGAGTGCCGGGAAAATTTGAAATAGCTTGAAACATTTTAAGAGTTATTTTATTAGTTGATATTATTGATTGATGTTATTGATTGATTCAGATTTAATAAGGCAAGCCCGGCTTTTCGGCTTTAATGGAAGCTTCGCCACTGATGCCAAATAACATTTTTAGAATAGTGGTGTATCGGGAACGGGAAGAATCTTACATCTTGCAATTCATACACATTCTGATTTTAAAGAGTTAATTACTTAATTAACTAATCTCTCATTTTTGTGGCATTCCTTGAGCAGTACCGTCTTTACCATAAGGGCACACGGGGCCCGTGCCCAGGACTCCTATCTTCATCCTTACGTGAGTAAAGGCGTCGGCTTTATTCACTTACGCTATACATTTTTTTTATTTTGGGAAAATATAACTCGACAAAAAAAATTATAGAGTACTTAAATGAGGGTGTTGTTAGTGACTTTCTGGCAACACTGAGCAGTGACAAGCCACACATTGTCGAGTAAGCCAGAAAAAGTGGCATTGACAGATTTCCTAGGTAGGAAATATGTAGTTCCTCATTTCGCCGTCATCTAAACATTTTTGTCGGGCTGTACAGTCACCTTACTTATTGCCTGGATTTTTTTTAATTTTTGGCAATCTATGTATTTATAATCTATTTCGTACTGTTTAATAAAAACAACATTTCAAAAGATTTAACAGAAAATGATTAATTTAATATGATAATTTTCAACCACAAATATTAGATTATATAGCCAATAATCGTTACAATCCTTATTTTGAGACAATAGAAGCCTAAACTTTAATGAAATAAATAAAAAGAATACAATAATAATTGTTTTAGGAAATAACAGAAAAGAATAGGAAAGAAACATTAGTTTACGTTTTCCTATGAAATTATCGTCCCTGCTATGAAATCTGTCAAATATTTTACATCATTTTAAAGTGGCGCCGCTCTGGTGGCGGAAAAAGGTCTGCATTCATGCAATGCACTCATTAATGATATAGACGTGCGATATTATGATAGTACAATGGTGAAACTGTGCGGCTGGAATTAGTCCAAACAATTCCTCAGAGCACTCAAAGAGATGCAACATCTCTTCGCAATGTCAGCGAGTCAAGCCGATCACAAAGAGCATGGTCGCCGACAATTCGAGCTGCTCTACGCTGGGTGCTATCAAATGGAAGGAGCTAGCACTGTGGAACCCCGGCCCAGAGATGGGGACAGTATTCCATGTTCAGCCCAACCTGTGCCTTGTAAAGTTGCAGGCGGTGATTTTGCTAGTTATGAAATTTAGCTACCATATTATAACAGATGATGAAATAGTATTTTTGTCCCTAATAATGTTGAGAAATTGAACTATATATTCATCATCATCGGCCTTTTATAGTGAATATATGAAAACTATGAAATTACGTTATGAGAACCATATTCATTTTTTATTATTAATGGAAGCCTGATAAATCCAATTCATAATTATATAATAATAATAACCTCCAGATCGAATTTCTGTCACGACAGCCAGCCTCATCAGAGACCAGCCATCGGCGCAGGACAGGATTATAGGGCCCAAGTGTATGTGCAAGCACAGGTGCACTCTCTATTCCATCACTCTCATATTCTGATGGGATGGTAAACCAACATGACCGGAGAGAGATCAGGCGCAGGACCAACGGCTTTATGTGCCATCCAAAGCACAGTGATGATATACCGCCAACTTCCTGACTCCGGGCAGCTATTAAGAATTTCTTGACACAAAAACTCTATAATTAATTTTTTCGCCCGACCCAGGATTCGAATCCAGAACCTCATGGTCAGTAGTCAAAAATTAGATACTGATACAAGTGAGGGTAGAAAACTAATAAGCATCCCTACTTGCTACAAGGCAATCCACAAATCTTAGTTGTTGTTGTTTGTAATTTTTATGGTACATGCAAAGAATGTTAGTAATGTTGCAGTGAGACTGCTCTATGTAGCATCATAATGGAGGATGTTGCAGTTAGTTTGCATAGTTAATTTATTTGGTGATATATTGTATATATACTTCTGTGTCACATGACTATTGTCATTACTAGAGTCATTTATTACAATATGTATTTTCCAAAAATTCAGTATGATTTGTAAAAATATATTAAAAAGAACAAACCTTTGAATTTAAAGTCTTTAAAATGGTCAGGAATAACCTGTATGCCTCTAGGTCCAGTCAGTCGTGCAGGATTTAAAATGAATCTTGGATTTTTCACTGTACGCTTTGTTTTCGTGCTAGATGGATCAACACGTCTCTTCTCTTCTTCTGCAATACAGAGTTATCAGTTGCACAATTGCCAAAAAGATATTAAATTTAAAATGATTGAAAAAAGACATAACGTGGAGCGAGTATTGGCGGCATATGACAATTCACTACCCGTGCGTCTACGCGACAGAAGAAATTAAAACAAATGAGCGGCAGCAAACTCAATATTTGCCTGTAATGGATGAAGAATGAAAACTCATTGTTCATATCAAAGGGTTTTAATACCTGCTTCGTCATCTTTTTCACTATTATCATCACTATCAGAGCGCGGTAGCGGTTTATCGTCATATTCGTCCCCTTCAATAATACGTTCCAGCTCCTTTGCTTCATCAGCCTCATCTCTTAAAAATATATCTTCAAGAAGCGACATGACATATATCTTTATGTGAATTAAAACATAGTGTTACTTTGAATACTTTCTACATATGTAAATAATAAATATTCTGACTCCGATTTTTGATTCGCTTCTGACGTTGACACTTGACAGTTTGTTAAAAATTGGCGGGAAGCTGCGGAAAGTTGTAATTTTTTTAAAATTTAATAATTTTTTTTTATTAAATTGTTTTACGGCTCTGGGTTCGAGCCCTTCTGAGCCTATCATTTCTTACAGAATCTTCATTTTTATATTCTTTTTATTCACGATATGCTGATGCGTCACATTGCGAAACTCTTGGGAGATTTTGACGACAGCTCAACCCATCAGACAGTTGATGATGACAGTCACTCAAGTTCATAAGGCGCCCAAGCGATCAAAATAACTTGACGCTTATATCAACATCAAAGCACTTGTTTCGTCGTTTTATCTAATAGTTCACACGAGTGGACACTTAATTCACAAAATCGTATCACTTTTATGAATCTAAATCCACTTCAAACCATTATTCAAGTGACAAAACAGGAGCGACAATCCGTCTACGGCCAAATTCCCGCCAAAACCTTAATTTATTATAATCACAAACTAATAAGAGTACTAACTTAATTATAATGATTGGAGTATAGAGTACAGAGGACCATCTCCCATACACAGACTACTAAATAGGAGAATAGGTGAAAATGTGTCCATCTGTAAGCAGTAATTAACAGTTCAAAAACTCTCCAAAACAGCGCTCGAGTAGCTAGAGGATATGAAAAATTGCCGTAAAACACGTTGACAGTAATTTTGAAAATAAAAATTATGAAAACAATAAAATAAATATTATAAAAAGAATTATGGTGAAAGTTTGTACAATTAAAAATTATAAGAAGTTCTTTAACATTTACATTCTAGCTACAGTGGCGCCACCTTTATTTAGCGCTTTTCTACGGACACGTTTATACAGAGATTCTTCTCCTTCTCTTTATACTCCATGGTTGCCAGTGCTGACAGCCCATGCTCAATACAAAAATATAGATAATAAAACCATATCGTAAAATACCGCAAATCGCTTCCAGCCCTATCAGCATAGAAGGTAAACTGTAATCGTATAAACTGGAAGGTAAAAAAAGTATAATTCCGCCTCCAGGTCCTTCAACAGAGTCATTGCCGAGGCAAAGTCTGAGCTCATCGGCAGAATTAGCGATAAGCTAGTTCACCTTGCTTCGAGACCCCGTGCATTCTGGTCTCGCGCCACGGCTGTCCAAGAGAACTTCTTTCAGTCACCTCTTCGATCTCTGCATAGAGAGGATGACTAACTGGCCCACGCCACAAAGGAGAAAGCTGATCTGTTAGGCTCTCTCTTTGCGTCCAACTCGACACTCGATGATGGGTAGAACACACTGTCAACCATTCCGTAGTGTGAATGGTCCATGCCGGAGGTGCGGTTTACACAGCACTCGGTTCGCAAAGCACTCCTTTCCCTGGACGTAAGCAAGTCGAGTGGGCCTGATGGAGTCTCTCCCATTGTGCTGAAGACGTATGCTCCAAAGTCAGCTCCGGTCTTAACGCGTCTTTTCCGGTACTCCTACTCCCAGGGTATAGTCCCAATATCATAGAAGACAGCTTTAGTCAACCCGATCCCTAAAAAGGTGACCGCTCAGACCCGTCTAAATACGGGCCTATCGCCATCACCTCCTTGTTCTCCAAAATAATGGAGTACATTATAAACTGCCAGCCCATAAGGTACTTTGAAGATCACAAGCTAATTAGTGACCGCCAATACGGTTTTCATCGTGATCGATTAGCTGGTGATCTTCTAGTCTACCTGAATCATAGTTAGGCGGAGGCTTTCGATCCGGTATGGCACAAAGCGCTTCTTTCGAAGCTTCCTTCCTATGGGCTTCCCGAGAAATTGTGCCATTACATCACCAGTTTCCTTGCTGATCGGAGCATCAAGGTAATAGTAGACGGTGCGCGCTGATTCCAAGCTGATAAACGCTGGTGCTTCAAAAGGCTGCGGGCTATCACCAACGCTAGCAGTTCTGCTGCATATCAATGATATGTTGCAAACTGGTAACATTCGTTGCTATGCAGACGACAGCACCGGTGACGCTTTATACACATGCCTTGCAAATATTTCTCAGGAAAACATCGCCGAGTACCTGGACAAACTTGTGTCTGAAGTCGAGACTTTATTGAACAAAGTCTCGGACTGATGGCGACTAAACCTAGTCCAGTTCAATCCCCAAAAGACACAAGTTTGGGTGTCTACCCTTTGTCGTATCTTCTCAGTTTTATGGCACTTCCCTTGCTGTCTCAGCTAGCTAGCTAAGTGTGCAGTTTCGTGGTCACTTGGAGGGGAAGGCCAAATTGACCTCTAAAAAGCTTGGTGTACTCAGCAGAGCGAGACAGTATTTCATGCCGGCTCATCGCTTGCAACTTTACAAATCTAGTGTTCGGTCTCTTATGGAATACTGGTCTCATCTCTGGTCCGGGACACCCTAGTCCACTTCCCACATCCAGTGCAGAGCGCTTCGAATCGTTGATGACCGAGTTCTTTCTGATCGGCTCGTTTCACTGGCGTTGCGTAAGAATGTTACATCCCTTTGCATTTCCTATCGCATCTACTACGGGAAGTATTCTGAGGAATTGTTCGGATTAGTTCCAGCCGCCAAAATTCAAGAACGCACATCGCGTCAAAATCCACGATACCATCTTCACCATCTGGATGCTCGAGTAACGCGAGCGCCGCGCCCCAGATCGATCGTGTCCAGTGTATCTTTTGTACAGCGACGGTGCTAGTTTTGAAAAAAAAAATGACGTTATCGTGCAACAATTGTAGAATCGTCATATGCGAATTATTATCTTATGTGTAGAACAAACTGTCTGTAGCGGATGAAGTCAGTATTGTGAGAATGTGTACCGCGACGTTTTCGTCTGAGGAGATCGTGCAGGCGAATAAATTACTCGTGGATTCCCTACCGCAGGATCTGTGCATAACTACGAAGAAGGAAAAAGGCAAGGAAAACCGTTTTTTGAACGATAAAATCACCCTTTTTAAGGGCACCGACCCTGATGTTTTGCCAGTGTTCGTAGCAAGAGACTTAGATAAGTTACCTCCGATTACCTTCGATCATCTTGACGTCTCAATATTACTTAAGGACCTACCTTTTGTGCAGGCTAAGATAAAAAAAACATTAAGTCGTCATACGCAACTATCGACCAGCTAGAAAAAATGAAAAAGGGGTGTCAAAATCTCAAGAATACATCGCCGCCCTTCTCAGCTGCAAAGGTGAACATGAGAAGAGGTGCTTATCGAGAGAGTGGGCCCATAGGATTGTCTCAACTTAATATTACGATCATTACATATCACAGCGATCATTTCGATGTTGAAACGTCATCTCCGAGAGATCTTAATTTAAACTATAGACGCATAAATTATATGGAGGGTAGTGCGTTTGGAAGTTACAAATCACGTCCCTCGAGCGAGATAGGCGCACGCAGCGTGGAACAGGGTAGCGGCGCTGACGCGGATGGTGCGAGTGATGTGTAACCGCAAACGGCGAGTGCGCAGCCAAGCAGCGAGGCATCGCCGAGCCGGGCAGCGGGGCCAACTGCGGGCCCAGCGGGTGTGTTATCGTTCGCGAAGGTGACTAAAACAGAAGGCGAGTGGAATATTGTACAGCGTTGGAAATCTAAAACGAGGTCGTATCGTTATTTGGGCGCTGCGAGTGTTTCCAATGACGAGAATTATAATTTTAAAGCCGCGGACAGAAAAGTTCCAATTTTTATTATTATGTTGCATAAGGAGAGACAACGACGGAGGACGGAGTTTTAGATGCAATACTTTGGCCGGAGGGCGTTATATTCAGGCGATTCGTCAACTTCAGGCGAAATAATAGCAGTGGCACGAACGGTGTAGCGATGAACACCGTGAACGTCCCTATCCCTGCTGTAAATGGATAAAAGTCTCAACTGTAATTTAGTTAGCTTCAACTTTAAAAGTATAAAACGCTCAGTTGACGATGTGAGATATTTGTGTCTGTCGGTGAGTGTGATAGCACTTCAAGAAACTTGGTTATTTGGACACGATATTCAGTTTCTTGGCGGGATTGATGAGCGTTTCGGCAGCACGGGCACGTCTGTAGTGGATTCAGCGGCGGGTATGGTTCCGGCCAGCCTTATGAGGGTGTTGGGCTGCTTTAGGACAAAAGTGTTTTCCAAAATGTGTCGGTCGTGTGTTGTGATAATCCACAAATATGTGGCATACAAATAGTGCTGGGCGATAAATCCATGTTTAGTGTGTACATGCCTCATATAAAATGGTAAACCTTACGGATTGCCTCAGTTCGATGAGTGCTATTGTTAATTGTAGTAATGTAGAATGTGTATACATCCTTGGCCACTTTAACGCCCATCCGAAAGAGCGGTTTTATGACGAATTGACGTGTTTTTGTGACGAACAAGAGTGTTCATGTCCACGGGTGAGAAGATGGCTTGATCACAGTGTGGCAACGAAATCCGCTGTATCGTCTATTTTGAATGTTTATGTTAAGTATGATGTCTACTGGTCTGACCATTATTTTTCAGTAATAGAATGTAACTTGGATATTGTCAAACCAAAGTTGAATTTTGTATATAAAGTGACTAACGAGATTCTATGGGGAAATAGGAAACTGGAGATCAGAATATATACGAAATTATATCATAAAAGTTAGAGCTATCGATTTTCCCCGCAGAATTTCGTTCTTGAAGTAATTGTATTTGTATAGCCCGTTCACCGTAAGATGTCCCCTGCTGTGATGTTGGCACTATTGCTTGTCAATCTGTTATCAGTTTGTGATTATAACGCTCGTTTTTGTGTTATTATTTAAAATATTCCGAATTAATTATGCCGAAACCATTTAGAAGCAGTGCAAGAGAGGTTGTGTTGAAGGTGCGTGCCTTTTGTGAGAGAGAAAAGGCAAACCAAGCCCCGTTACGTTAATTCCACTCAATCAAGTGCGAACTCGCGT